TTTAGAAGACACCTGAAGGCAGCCCTGTTTAGGGAAGCTTTTAATGTATGATGCATTACAGTATTTTAATACAGTGGTACCTCGGGTTAAGTACTTAATTCGTTCCGGAGGTCCATTCTTAACCTGAAGCACCACTTTAGCTAATGGAGCCTGCTGCTGCCACCGCGCCGCCAGAGCATGATTTCTGTTCTCATCCTGAAGCAAAGTTCTTAGCCTGAAGCATTATTTCTGGGTTAGTGGATATAAGCGTATGTAACCTGAAGCGTATGTAACCTGAGGTACCACTGTATTTTGTTGGAAGCCACCCAGAGTGGCTGGGGAGGCCAAGCCAGATGGGCGGGGTATAAATAATAAATTATTCTTATTCTTCTTATTAGGAATGATTTTAGCAGGAGCTGAAAACAGGAGCACAATTAAAGTGGCTACTTGATTTCAATAGGCACTGCCATACGAAACAATTGAGTTCTTACAGGTATTATGTGCTACAAGTATTCTGTGGCACCTATACTATTGCCAATTCCATCAACTGAAGTGGTTGAATGGGCACCTGTGGGGTAGGGTATGCTGCTATTAAGACAGCTTAATAGGTTATCTGATTTCGCAAGCTAATGAATACTTAAGAATGGGTGCTCAACCGATGCATCTCTGCAGCAGGATTTCTCTTTTGACATTTATAACGGTTTATTCAAAAAGGAAGGAAATGATCAATACATATATTAAAACTAACAATGACTGCTCAAAATGGACTTCGACCAAACTTTGAGTATCAAATTCCAGGAAATCTGATTTCAGCTGTCAGCTTCTCACAGGTTCCCATCCCTTTCTGTGTACAGATAGTATCAGGACTAGCATAGGCTCCCTAGCCAATACAACCTGAAGTAATTATCAGTGATTAAAAGAAACCATTCAGCTATTTCAAAATCCTATTTAAACATCCTACTTTCAAACTTTGCATGAAATGTACATGGCCAAATTGAAAATGTTATATCAGACAAAACGAGTCTACATTTGGTATTAAAAACATATCTGAGCGTATATTTGGAGTATGTTTGTGTTTCCCCCCTCCAGAATGTGATTTCTGTAAAAATCAATAGAAATATTATTTTAAAAGACTTCAACATTGGAAAGCCCCATAGGTACCCGCTGTTCTTCCAAAGTAGGTACTTTGATGTCAATCTTAGTGTTGAAGAAGGATGCTATGGGAGGATGCAGTTCTTATTAAGGTATCCTGGCTCCAGACAACTTGAGGCTTTAAAGGTCAGTGCCAGCACTTTTAAAATTGAACAGGGTTCAGTAGCCTTTCTTTGCATGCGAAGTCTCTGCTGACCAGAAGTGAGCTTGATAGACAAGGGGCTAGTCGCACCTCACCTGTAGTGAAATACTTTCCATCTCCTTTTATTTCCTTCTTATGGTGTTGCAGTAGTAGTGAGAATAAGGGCAAAAGGTTGGCCGGAATAAACAAAGTCATCCTGTGCCCACTGCCTTGAGTTGCCACACTTTTATCATCTGCATTATTCTGTTCCATCACTTGGTCACGTTTGTGTGTGACCAATCGTTGTTAGGTCTCTCTTTTTTAAATGATCGCCATCATTCACGTAGTGGTTTTTAAATGAAAAAGCTGTTTCGCATCGTTCTTTTGATCTTTACAACTTCCCCGTACATTAAATAGTTTTATTCTCATTTTTAGGAATTAGGATCTGAAGCTGAATATAAGCCATCATGTGAACCCATGGCTGCAGGGATTAAAATGTGAGCAGCAATTGGTGAGGTCTCATTTTTATTGTTGTTGCATGTCTTGTTTTACCAGCATCGTATTTGTTTAAGTAGGAGATGAAAATGCAAGGCCTGTGGAAAATGTAAGTCATTTAAAATGAAATTGGATCCAGGTACGGTAAATCTTTCACCCCGTGGTGGCACTATAGCATTCTCATTAGCTGTCCTTTAACAGCCCTGTACCAAAGTTACCTACCAATGACTGCTCTATGGATTCAAGCCTCCGCAGTCACCTGCCTTTCTCTTTCAGTCACATGACCTTTTTGATGTCAGACCGTGTGATCTCTCTCACTCCACCTAAAGAATTCTAATTTTTCTCAAGGAAGCCCATATTCGATATGCATGGAGACCAGCTTTTCAGCAGCTGGATTTTGAGCTCAGAATGCTGGTACATACACACGCAAACACACACACGCACATGTAACACACCACACTATGTGAACATGGAAGCAGCCACAAAGCAATTTGCAACCCACAGCTGAGCCCAGTACTCAAATATACAGAGGAACACTTCAGTATCTAATATAGTAAACAAACAAGACTGTGATGCAAGGATGCTCAGTTTTGTTTATCTAACTGTCACAATACCATCTAAATGAAGAAGCACATTTCACAAATTCCAGAAGCAGAACTGGAAGGAATTCCCTTCTGCTAATTTTGTTACCATCTTTGCACGTTGCTGTGAAAATGTAGTTGTGGTTTGCATTGTGGACTGACATGTTTTCTGACGGTGAAATGAAATGCATGTCCAATTATACATTACAAGCAGAGGCAGCTGCAACCCTTGACAAGCTTAGTAAAATCCAATGGGTCTTCATTGCAATTAAGTATGCTTAAGAAGATTTATTTATTTATTTATTTATTTGGTATACCACTCTTTATGTGTAGATCTCAGGGTGGTTCAAAACAACTGAAAGTTGGAGAAACAAAACCAAAAAAATGAGCTTTTATCTAAAATTATCCTTACTGCCAAATACTACACAGGTAGCATTAAACAGCCACTCCAAGAGCTAAGAATATAAGTAACTAACTATGCAGTCTTTAGAAGACATCTAAAGGCCACTGGCGGATGAAGGGGGGCAGGGGGAGCGGGACACCCCGGGTGCCATCCCTGGTGGGGTGCCATTGCGGCCGCCCCCAGGACACACACCACGGCCCCTGGGACGTGCACCAGCCATGCCCCCACCTGTTCTCCGCTCCCAGAGCGTGTAGCTCTGCCACTGCTAAAGGCGGCCCTGCAGAGGGAAGGGTATTTTTTAATGTTTAATGTTTTATTATGTTTTCTTATATGTGGGAATCCGCCCAGAGTGGCTGGGTCAACCCAGTCAGATGGGCAGGGTATAAATAATAAATTTATTGTTGCTTTTGTTGTTGAATAGGACATCCCTATTTTCATGGTAGTGATGTATGGAAGTGAGAGCTGGACCATAAAGAAGGCTGATCGTCGAAGAATTAATGCTTTTGAATTATGGTGCTAGAGGAGACTCTTGAGAGTCCCATGGACTGCGAGATCAAACCGATCCATTCTGAAGGAAAACAGCCCTGAGTGTTCACTGGAAGGACAGATCCTGAAGCTGAGGCTCCAATACTTTGGCCACCTCATGAGAAGAGAAGACTCCATGGAAAAGACCCTGATGCTGGGAAAGATGGAGGGCACAAGGAGAAGGGGGTGACGAGCTGGTTGGACAGTGTTGTTGAAGCTACCAACATCAGTTTGACCAAACTGCGGGAGGCAGTGGAAGACAGGACTGCCTGGTGCACTCTGGTCCATGGGGTCATGAAGAGTCGGACACAACTAAACAACTAAACAACAACAATTTTCATCCGAGAAATGTTGGAGGGTATGCATTAAAAGAACTATCAGGCTTAACTAGATAACCTAACAATTATTGTCTGGACATTTGGATTTCACAAATACACATATACCATTCAGTTTAACCCAGCGCTCAGATTACAGGTGGGGGTAAAGAGTGGCTGGCCCCAGCCCCCTATTTTTTGTGATGCCCTCCCTCAGGGACTGAAGAGGGGCTTGATTTGGCTAAAATATGGAGGCGAGTAAAGCAGCCTCCTGTTAAAGCACATCCCCTTTTGCAGAGGCCTCAGGCCCATCCACAGCATCAATACCACCTGCGAGGAAAGGAAATAAAGTGTGTTGGGAGGAGGAAGCAAATGCCCCCAGCCTTATATTTAAAATCATTAAAATCACATGGAAATCCTTACGTTTCCCTCTATATATAATTCGAGCACAAATCACATTACTGCTTTGCAATGTTGAAAACAAAACGAAACAGTGACAACGGCTTCACCTAGACTGAGGATCCCAAGCCTGCTGTACCCCAGGCATAGGCAAACTCAGCCCTCCAGATGTTTTGAGACTACAATTCCCATCATCCCTGACCACTGGTCCTATTAGCTAGGGACGATGGGCGTTGTAGTCCCCAAACATCTGGAGGGCTGAGTTTGCCTTTGCCTGCTCTACCTGGACCCAGTCCAAGGAGCTCTGCAGGATCAAGGAAGGTTATAGGTAACACCCATAAGGTGTGGCCAGAATTTTCTTTCTGGAGAAAGGCAAAGTGCACCTGCCAGTTTACCGGACTGGTGAATGCAATCAAGCAGAGACATGTGGCGAGATAAGAAACTGAACGAAACATCAAAGAAAGCTTTTTTAAAAAAAAACAAAAAACCCTTATTTCCTGTGTATATAGGTTGCCACCAACTTTCCAGAAGGCTGTGTGGAGTTTTCCCCCTACCTCCCTGGAAAAGAAAGACTGGATATCCTGCATAGGAGCCAACTCCTAGGGTGCCCCCCAAATTGATGGGGATTGCCATTTGAATGGTGTGCATGCAGGGTGGGGCTTACCTGGACCTCCCCCCCATGCAATATTTTATTCGAGTTTGCACCCCGGATATCCTGTATATCATGGGATAGCTCTGTCCGTACAGCATAGAAAATCCTAGAAATGTAAAGTTGGAAGGGACCCTGAGAATCACCCCTGCAATGCTGTCCCATCGGAGGATCGAACCTTGGCATTATCAGCGCCACGCTCTCACCAACTGAGGTATGACTCTTAATCTCAGAGTTGCGGGTTCAAGTCCCACGCTGGGCAAAAGATTCCTTGCATTGCAGGAGGTTGGACTAGAGGACCCTCGTGGTCCCTTCCGACTGTACAATCCTATGATGTTTGTGTGTGTGTGTGTGTGTGTGTGGTCTCTTAAACTCTCCTCACCTAGATCAGAAGCAACGGTTCAGCTCAGGCCTAGGGAAAGCTTGCCCACGCTTGACTCGCTCTTCGTATCGCTTTCTTATTATAGGGCGAAGCCGATCGCGTTCAAAACACAAAAGCCCAGATGGTCCGACGGCAAACAGCATCCTTGCCACCTGCGAGGGAGGGAGGGAAGGAAGGAAACGAAAAGGGCGGGGGCGGGGGGAGCAGGGAGGAGAGCCCACGCGCCCCAGCCAGAGATTTAAAAGCATTTAATCCCTCAAGAACGGATTAAGAATAAAATATAATAATAATAATAATAATAATGCGGTCCTGAGGCACAGAGCATCCATTCACCCACCAACGACGACGAGGAGGAGGAGGACGACGAGAGAGGAAGGAGGCGGGAGCTGCGCGCTTGGCGCCCCCTTGAAGGTCGTTTGGCATCTTCCATTCATTCCGTCTAGCGCTTCGCCACGCCGCCTCAGAAACAACCGCTGGGCTTTAAAAATTAAATGTTAAATTAAAAAGGAGGAACCTTCTCTTCCTCTGAGCTCCCAAAACGTCACCCCTTCTTGGCAACGGGGCGACAAGAGCCCGAGAGCGAGGGAGGGAGAGCCAGCTCTTCTAACAAAGGAGAGACCCCCCCCGAAGGCGGGGCGCGGGAGAAGAAACACCTCAGCTTGGGCTTCTTTTTTCGTGAAGACTGAGGGGAGAAAAGGAGGGACCGGCGGCATTAACAGGTACGGAGTTTGGGGGGGGGCGTCGCAGAGAGATAGCCTCGTGTGTCCCCTCCCTCACCTCAGCCATTCACCCTCGGAAGGACACATGGCCGGCGACAGGAGAGAGCCGCTTTCTAGCTGGCGCATGTTGGGCGTAGGTGCTTTTGGCCAAAGAGGTCGGGGGCTCCTGGGCGCCTGAGGGAAAGGCTAGCGGAAATGGCGAGAAGAGGCGCCTCGCCGCGGCCCGGGAGCCGCGTGGAGCCGCATGGCTGCTTCTTGTCGGGTCTGCTAGTGAGGAGAGACCCTCACCTCCACCCCAGCCAGCCAGCCAGCCCCCTTTCTTCCCGCCTTCGCTTCTCGGGCTGGCAGGCATTCTTCTCCCGCGCTGCGAAAAAGACCCGCACGTTTTGGTCTCTCTTTTCTTTCTCCATTATGGGTGGAGGGAAAAAGGCGCGTAGGAAGCGAATGCGTGTGACTCATGCGCCGCACTTATTTCCACCTCTCTGAGGGGGGGGGCACCCACCGTAAATACACACACACACACACACACACACACACACACACATATAAATACACTAAATGAGACCCTAATGAAACAGTTTTAGCAGACCTAGGTCACTGTTCAGGCTGAGGCACAAACCACGTTACTAGAATGTAGTCCTAATAAAAAGAAACGGATTTGACGGCTGGCCACCTTGACATGGGAAAAGAAGGGGAGCGAGCAGGGAGAGTCCTCCTCACTTTGCAAGAGGTTCCACCTGAAACGATCCCTTTCTTTCTTCCAGAAGCCCCTCCCCCCCGGTTTATTTATTTATTTATTTTTAAAAAATGGAATTGGGTTTCTGAATTGCTGGCAAGCTAAAGCTGATACTCTTGAATGCCAAAAATAGGGATGTTGGTGGACCGAAACCAAAAGAGGGACACTTTTTTAAAAAAATGACATGCGGGATTTTTTTGAATGGAACATATTGTCACTGATCTTCCTCCTTCTCTTTTTTAAGGCAGTTAACTTGTCAGCTGCTTAGGTACATTTGCTGTGGGTGTATTTATTAATGCTTCACTGCATTGGCCCTTTTCACCAGAAAAAGACTTTGTCCCAACCTTGCTTGTGGCCCACTCAGGTCTAAATCATGCATGCCCTGAATAAAGATGTTGTTGCTTTCACAGGAAATTGAAATTTGCCCTTTTTTAAAAAGATCCAGTAGTTTCACCCCACTGCACTCCACCCCTTTAAAGCTCCACTGGAACATTTTTGTGCCTTTTGGATAACAATCATCTGTGCAAAATGAAAATGCTGCTACTCTGCTCTGACTGATTCTGTAGGGCTCTGCTGGGTATTCAAGAGGGATGCTACAGATTACTTTGGAATTAATGATCAATTTCTTACGTCACTTGGCTGTATTGTAGTCCTTGTGCATCACTTGGAGACTGGAAGTTAACCAGTTTATAATTTGTTCAAATAAGTAACTGCTTCACTGAGAAGTTCAAGGTTATGCTAGGAATGCAGGCCTGGTTCTAGCCTGCATCTTTTCCAAGTCTTGGTTTCTCTCCTAGAGAGGCTTTTTCTCTGTTCTATTCTTCTCTCCCTCTCTTGTGGTTAGTGCCTTTGCTTTTTTTTAATCACACACCATCAGTGTCCTTTCTGCCATAAGCCATTTGTTCACAAAGCAGAGTTGTCATACAACCTGTTGCTATCACTGATTGCCTCCATGGGCAGGGTGGGGAGTAAAGATTGTAAATGCAGAAATACTGGGTGATGTCCTATGAATTCCTACAGTAGGTCCATTGGTTACAGTGGGTCTGCTTTGAGTGTGACTAAACATTATGTAGCGCCCCTTATAACCACCATACTCATTAGTATTATTAGCTTAATTTCAAGACAGAGTTAAACTTGCTGAAATGCGCTGAAATCGGTGGAGTCCCAATTCTGTGCTGGATTTAAGCTATTAATATTATGATTATTGGCATCGTTGTCTTCAGCCTGCTTAAACATGCCAGATTATCATTTGATTATCCTGCCTCCCACTGGCCTCCTTCTGCTCCTTTTATTGCCATTTTAGTCAGGCCTCTTTTATCCTTGAAAATAGTTGCATCTTTTATGGTGGATTTCACCTTTCCCTGCCTGATTCATTTCAAAAAGAATGCTGAATTTATTATTTATATTTATTCTTCTGTTGCAGTGGTTAGATAGTGTTGGACTATGACCTGCAAGAGACCAGGGTTAAAATTCCGGAACAGCCCCTGCACCTGCAGATGTAGTAAGCCAGGCTTAACAGATTCTGAAATACCTTCTAAAGATCACCCCCACCACCTGCAACACAATGAAACCCAGAGTCTAAAGTTACTTAACTGCTCCATTGCTCATATCTATCCTGCCTGAAGATCTTTGGTGAAAGAAAGGCAAGGTATAAATATAATAAAATGCTCTTAAAGATGTCCCGTTGGACTCTTTGGGAGAGGGGCTTAGCCACTAAACTTTACATCAGCTTGCAAACACTGAAAACTGAACTTTGATGATGAAGTAGTGGATGGGAAATGGCTGTTCACTTGAAACCCACCACCAGAAATCCACCAACATGCTTTTCTTAGAACGGAGGGGTAATTTTCATAACGCTACTTGATGCCACATAGTTTATCTCATCTATTTAAAAACGAAAACAAAGACATTTGTGTACGTACAGAGAAGAACATGCTAATCCAGAATGTGGTTCTCAAGTCTCCTCCATTCCACAACATGATTTCTCCCTTCTCCCACTACATTTTTTGTGATCAGACATAAGAATGATGAGGGCATATTAATATCCTCTTTTTGCTATCATTTTCTCTCACTCTTAATAGTTCAGGCCTAAATAAATGTGGGCTTTAAACCACAAATTGGGCAAGAAAAAATATATTTAAAGCAATCTTCAGTTGACTCTATGCTGTATAAATAGCCCTTCAGTCTATATATTTAATGTTCTGAATCAAAGAATGAATAGAATTTAGGAGGCCAATGAGCTAGAGGTGCATGCGGTCTAAAGTCCTAGCATTATGGAAGAATTTTAATATCCTACATGATGATCTTAATAATGTATTTTAAGAGACTTGAATGAAACACAGTTTGTTTGGGTATCTGACCTTCTTTACAGTAGCTCTTCTCAAGCCTGAATTGGCTTTACATTTTGAGGTGATGTGAGGGTTTTATATTTGTTTACTGTATGTGTTTTAAATGTTTTGATATTTTTTTAAAAAGATATTTATATTTTTGTCAGCTACCACATGCAAATCATTGCTGGCTAGTTGGTAGAATGCTCCTTTCAGAATAAAATAATAATAAAATATGTCCATTTTGCAAAAAACGAGAACGGGATCAGAGAAATCGCATGTGAGCTGATAAAGAGGATGTTAATGAACATGAATATACATAATATTCAGTACACTTCCAACAACCAGTGCAGAATTAATTGCTTTTTAATATGTCTGTTCTGCCTTTGTGATCTCCCCACCCCGTGCCTGCACCTGGTCATCCGCCCCCCCCCCCCCCGGTTCTATTTTAAATGTTAGGCTGTAATTCTGTAGCCAGTTTCCTGGCTGTAAAGCCTGCTAAACTCAGTTGGACTCCTTCTGAGTAGTCATGCATAGGACTGCACTGTTAGTGGTGTCTTGATTTGATACAGCACAGCAATTTGTTTTAGTTTGTAGCTGCATGCTGGCATGTGTAATCACAGTGGTTTCTCATGGTTATGCTCAGTTATCAGCACAGGGATAAATTTAGGAACAACAGACCTACCTTGGGCAGCAGACTTAGGTCCCACAGGTCTCAGAGGGCACCTCTCATGGACTGGCTATTCATCTCTCCAGTCAACAAGCAAAGCAAATAGTTCACCTTTACTGTTGACAAGCGGCCAGTGTTGCATTTATGTTTGTTTGATTTGTGGGGAACTTTACGCCACCACTGCTCATTCGGTGATGTACATAGGACTGTGAGTGATTGTGATCCAGACTCATGCATGCAGATTTATAGTCTTCTATGGCAAGCATGCTCTATGCATCAAAGTTATTAAATCTCTGCACATACAATAAAAAAATAAGGTATTCAGAAATGCAGCAAATATATGCAGGGAGCACTACTGATGATTCTTGTTCCTTGGTTGAGGTCTCCATGCCTGGTTGAGTACACTGAAGACCCTGTCCCAACAGCAGGCAAACCCTTCTCACCCTCGCTTTTTCCTTGAGCTTCAAATTGGTGCTGGGGACAAGATGGATAAACAGTCACAGAAGACTGTTACTCACAGGAGTACAACTTCATGGTTCAGTATGGAGTTGGGCTTGGTGTTAGCACAGAGTGCTTAATAAGCACACCAAAGGCTTCTTCTGTGTTTGGCTGACAGAGAAGGGTTTTTTCCCAGAGGTTAGAAAAATTAGCAACATCATATATTTTTGAGTTCAATCTGTCCCTTTCCCAAGCCTGGCTAAGAGAAGTTGCAAAGGAGAACTATGCGCTTGAATCGATTTGCATTTTCTCCCCTTGATGGT